TTGGTACTGTTATTGCTGTTTAAGTTCCATATTCTCACCACGCAAATCCTGCCAAATACACGTTAAACAGGTTCAGAGTTAAGACTGTCCACCATAGTACAGCCTCAGGTCAATTAGAACTCTGAAAATTGAGAGATTGTAAGAGAGCAGAAGTCCATTAAAACAACTATTTTCCCCATCCACCAATGCAGTGCAGGTCATTCCTATCATTACAGCTATCTAACAGGTCTACTCTGCCTTGTCACCATAAAAAGGCACTTTTAAAAAGTTATTTATCCAGTTCATTGACTAATTAGATTTAAGAGGGTGACTGTACTGGTGGTGTCAACATTTTTATTTAAATAACTCAACCCTCATTTTAGCAAGCAGAGATGAGACTTCTTGCTCTCCACATATAAATTCAGCAGGCTAACATTTCAGGTCTGGTGACACTTCCTCAGAACTGATGGTAGGTCAGACAGCTTTTCCAGCAACTTCTGTCTTTGTTTCTGGTTTACAGCATCCCCAATTCTTTGTTTAAAAATCTGAAAGGGAGGTTTTTAGAAACAGGATAAAAGCAAGATGAGTATGTTAGACCTTCATATTGGAAAAAATATCACTGGTCTTTGCTGCTGGAATACCATGGATAATCGTGAACATTAGGTGCACCATGCATAGATGAACTTTTTAAAGGGGCAGATTAGAGATAGAGGATTTTCTTCCTAATGGAGAAAGTCTAAAACATCTAGAAAGAATTGATCATCTTCCCTTCAAGTTGGAATCTAGAACACATGAAAAGGCACTAATTCCATAACCAGTTTTTAAACAGGTAGGAGAACAAAAGGAACTTTAAAAAATAGGTTCCAGACAAAACAGCAGGAATGTGTTTTAAGTGTAGACTAACAGATTTGATTGTCCCATCAAGTTGGTTATTCCATCTGGTTTCTGCCAGTTAGTTTTATTAAAATGCTGCTCTGGTCATTTCTCACTAACAAATATAATCAGTGAAAAATGGGACTCCAAGCATCCAAAAGTGACTCAGCTCAAGTTAAATGATTATATTTAGGCAAATTAATTGCTCCAAACTGGAAAACACTAACCATGGGCTTCACCAAAAATATTTTTCTTCAACTCACTCCAATTTGATGTCAAATTGTTACTTGAGACATCAAGTTGGAAGTTCAGGCTAAAAAAAGGTGCTCAAGCTATAGACTTAAAAATAAAGAGTCCAAAAAGTGAATCACAGCACATCCAGTTTTATTTGCATTGATAAAACCTTAACACTGGGTCAGAAAGCATTTCTGCTACAAAAAGTTTAAAACTGAAATATGGCTTGTCACAAGGAACCAACCTGTAATTACAGAGAAGCTATTCAAAAAGAACTTAAGTAGCCCAGCCTCATGGTTATGTCAATTGAGAAATCATGCTCAAATTCCATCTTTAAATCCATCTACCCGCCATAGATCTAGATCCTTTTATGCTCTTATACAGCCAATTATACTGATGTATAATAGTTTTCCAGATTAACAATTTAAAACAATTTGACTCCTTAAAACTTTAAATCCGGATACCCACAGAAGATTAGTACTACATAGGGTAGGATGCAAGTGCTCAGCTATAAACTGTAATAAAGTGCACTTTTAAAAATTAATTCTAATGCTTTGCACATTTAGGTTAATAAAAGTTGATACATTTAAGTCAGTTATACAAATGAAGGGCAGTTTTAGTCCAAACTGACCAAATCAATAAAAGTTTACAGCAGAAGCAGCTAGGGTCAAGGAGCTGACTGATTCCAGTGTAAGAGGGGATCTACAATAGGGGCAAAGATTTTAAAACTCAAACATGGTTAAATCATCTTGGAGGAGACAAGATCCCTCTTGCCTCATGATTAATGTCTCCTAAACAAAATCAATGGGTTTGCCTTCAGCCATCATTATAACAATTTACCTTGTTTTCAGGAAGATTACAAGTACAACATGGATCTTGTCACAAAAACAAGCAGGAATGACTATAGTCTGGTGACAAAGAAAATACATTAATTGCTTATGCAAATGACCACACAAGGTATTCCAATACAGATTTGTCTGACAATACTCAAAAGGAATCAGTTATGAAAATCAGGTATGTAATTTAAAAAAAAAAAAAACAATTGATCAAGCCTTTGTAGAATTTGAAATAAGATGCCTGGATAACTAAGTGGACAAAGCACAAAAATGCAAGACGGCACCATAAAAATAAAGATAATGAAACTTGAGCCCTTCTGGATCCAGCTGCTTATTTCAAGTTTAACCTCATTCTCCTCTCCAGATTACAGAATGGCAGCAGTGTAGTCAGAACTATCATACAGTCTGCTATTTTTTGGCCAAAATCCTTACATTCACCCAAAGATTCAGGTGCTTACCAAAATCTCAATCCTAGAAAGTTAGTCTTTAAAAATGAGAAGTGACTGAATGTTAGGTTTGTATCTTAACTGTCAAGGTGGTTAGTTCCATTGTTTGCAGTTGATATTTTAAAAATTTGTTCAATTCTGCCTCCTCCCACTTATCTTTAAAGACTCAAGTAGTGATGAAGCTTAGACTTTCTATTTGACCCTTGACTCAGACATCAGGCTGGGCTTTCCACCTCTGGTTCAAAAGACAGAAGCAGAGATCCATTGAGTGGGATGTTTAGTGGCAAGTGAGTTCTTCAAGTTTAAGAACATTTAAATTTTGGATGAAAAACCAAGTTTGAAACCAGAAATATTATTGACCAAATGGAAACAGAATGCATCTGGAAGTTACCCTGACTTATTCTAGCCTGGGCAGGAAAGCAAGTTGGCAAGTGCATATTCAGTAAGAGGCAATTCTTCCATGTATCAGTCTAGCATATCAGAAAGAATAATAAAATCAGTAATAACAAAGCTATGCACATTAACCCAATGAAATGCAGTTTATTCAGCATGTTACGAGTCATGTCCGCTGCCATAAGAGGCTAATGAACCCACCTCTACTCCCCAGTAAGCACTTAGTTCCTTACATTTTAAGGCTGTATCAAAGAAAACTTCAGCACCATTTATATTTATGACCATTTATGAAAATGATTGTACATGTCATGCAATATCCACAGCAGTATGAAGCTCATAGAGACACTCAATTTCTTACCACGAAGGGCAAGCAAGTTCTTTGTTGCTAAAAGCTGGCATCCCATTAACATTACCAACTTCAAACAAAAATCAACAGGAAAAGACGACATCAAGTATCACAATGTTTATTATAGATACAAGTTACTTGTACAAAATCAGGGCAAGTGAACAAGTAGTGAACACAAATCGATAAATTAAGTAGGCTTCATTTTGTTACCATCACGTAAAAGGGGTCCAAAGGAAAAAAGGTTAGTTCCATTAATCTCAGCTTTGAAGTTCTCTCCCTCCCCCATCTTATACAAGCACTTTAATGTCATTTTACCATGTCACAAGTGAAGCTTTATGCAGGTAAACTAGAGATTAAAGGACTTATGCCTATGTTCAGGCTATGGGATTTAAGCATAGCTAACCCTGGCACACACACCTTAAAACAAAGCCCAATAGTGGAGGTAGAAATTTAGGCAAATTAATGTTACAGCTGCAACCCACTGATTACAGTTTCCAATTTATTTAAGTTTTTTAACAATCCAAGGGAAGAAAATCAAATATTGCAACGACTCAAGTATTTTGCTGAGCAAAGTGCATTTCTACAGTGTCTTGGTGTTGCTATTCAGTTTGTAAAAATCAACCAATGTAGAACAGCAGCCAACAGCATTGTCTTCATTGTAACTACTGCTTGCACTGAGTAAATTTAGGGTTCAGTTATTGCATGCTATTCATTAGGTCATGAAGTTGCCTAAAAAGGTACTGTAATCTTAAGATTCAATGGTACACTACGCTTAAGACAAACTAAGGTTATGCAGAAGAAATGAGCCATGGACATGCTCCTGCGCTAAATACTGCAAACAGTGGAATGAATCTCTGCAGTGGTTGGATGAACGCAGTTACATCACAGCAACAGTATATTTGCACTATTTTAAGGCTTTGGCCGGTTTTCAGTCACCTTCCTCTTCTTCAGATTCCTCCTCTTCCGCAGTTTCCAGCCAGGTTAGCCACTGATTCACCTGTAAGATCAAATCAAGTTTAATGAAAACAAATACAGCTCCAGATTGAAATTTTACAAGAGGGAATACAAAACAGATACTGCTGTGACATTTTAGCATCAGCTCCAAATCAGTTAGCAAAACCTACACACAAGATGGACATACATTTGAGTGTTACCTCGCCTCTCAACTCTCAAGGTTTAGCTTAACAGTTAAAATCCCTCAGTTACCTGGAATAAAGCTTTGCCTTTTCCTGGGAATTCCTGGCTGATATCCTCTTTCCATGCTAAGAAGGCTTCCTCTTCTATTATTTCCATGTCATAAAAGTTCACAAAAAAGCGCAGTAACATACCTGGAAGCAAGAAGCAGTTCTCCAGTCAACAACTGCTACTTAAAACAGATGTTCAAACTAGGGACCAGTAGCCATAAATTTGTTTTGTTCAAAACTGGCTGAAAAATGTTAAAGCTACAATTTAAAAAACAGTTTTTCAAAAGATCAAGTTCAGTCTTTTATTACATAGAATCTCACCTTTAGGGAAGTTGTGATTATAGCAGTGCACCTGCAATGCATACAAGGCGCTAACCTGCAGCTCAGTGTGGTCATGCAGGAACTTCTGCATTACTGGCTTAAAGGACAAGAGTAGTTGCTTCTCCAGTTCCAACATTTCTTTGGAAGAAACGCTTGTTGGGTCACCAGTTTCAGCAGGGGCCATCTTTGAAATGTGCTGCAGGAAGCTAAAAAACAGCAGGTTAAGAACAATTAGTGAAGCACATTAGTAGGCAAGTCAATAGTAACTGTAGAATTTCACACGTCATTGTTCCAGTCACACTAGTCCTCGACTCAAAATCCTACAAGCCAGATTTCAGTGGCTGCCCAAAAGAACATTTAGCCACAAATATATCCTTTAGTTTCAGATACTGCAACAAAATGAATTGTTAAAATGTGTTTGTTTAAGAGGAGATTACATTCAGAGAAGTACAATATTTTTTTTTGAAAGTTCGATTTCATTCAAAAAATGAAGGTAACAGATACAGGGTGCCACACCTAAATTGGAGAGGGGTCATAACATTTCACTGCTATATAAAAAGTGGGGTACTCTTATCAGAAGAGAGATATCATGGATGAGGGGCATGGAATTCTGGTGTTAAGGACATTGCCCAAGCAAAAACAATTGGCCACTATTGTACCACACTCCCACCTGGAAATGGAGAAGCTAAAAGGTGGAAGCTGCAAACTTCAGAATAGACCAACTTACCTGGTTAGGAGAATATTGACAAATCCTTTATCTGTATGCAATTTGGGAGAAATGTTATCCTTGATCCACTTATAAATGGCTTGAGGGGATGGGTCATTCTTTATCTGTTCTGCCAACTCTTTCTCCAATTTTAGTAGTGGGAATAAGAAACTGAGTCCTTTCCCCTCCAGAATCTCCAACATGCGATCCTTATTTTGGTCAATCTCTGAGAGAAAGCAAACAAACAATCAATCAATCATACTAGACATCAGTACAAGTACAATTTGGTAAGTTAAAGACCGGCAACCACCGCTTTTATAATAAGCATACCCACAATATTCAAAGTCACGAGTACTTCTTTCCAAAAAACAAAAAAAGGGGGTCACATACTTAAAGCCAAAAATAGCAAAGCTATGCAAAGTAATGCCAGAGGTGGGTTTAACAAACATCTAATACTTTCTGCAATAATTCTAATAAACCTTCATTCCAGCTTTCAAGTGGAAGAACAACATTACTTTGGGCCAAAGAAAAATCACAGTACAATTCAAATCCCATTGCTTTGCACGTGACAGGGTGAACTGACTCAGGGCGTCAATACATCACCTCAGAATGAAGGCAAATAAGTTAAATTATTTTCCCAATTATTTTCAAGGACACTTGAAGGACACACCTGGCAGCATCTTCTGCATGTTGACCTTGCTCTGTTGAAAGAGGTCAGTCAGCCACTCTCGATCCTTTAATTTGGCAAGCTGCTGTAGACAAAGCAGGAAAAGGGGGAAGTGGGTTCCATTCTCAAAGGGCTGGGCAAGCTCCAAGAGGGTCACAAGTTCAGAGATGACGGCACGTGCTGCAAACTGGGCCAAGTACGATTTCACCAGAGGGATATCCCCCTCCAGCTTGGGGCACTGCTCCAATACATTCAGGAAAGCCTGCAAGCCAGAGTTATGGGAATTTACAGTTTGCATTAATCACAAGAATAGTCCAGCCAGTTAGCAATACATGCAAGATATTTTACAATGTGTAATTTAGTAAGCTATTTATGCCCTTTACCCCACATAGGAGCCAATCCTGCAGAATTTGAAAGGCGACATTAACTATAATATAGATGCAGAGAAAATAATGCAGTCAGTGTGTTTAAACACCAAATATACAATTTGGTTTGCTTTCTTTTCACAATTCCTTTCTCCTGCACATCCAACTCAACTCTGCCTGAACCAAATTAAAAACTTAAGACAGCAGATCTCCAGCTATCAACGTAGAGGATTGCCAACTTGACAGAAATCAAGGCGGCAAGTAGGGTTAAGGAGAATCCAAAGGGATTCTCCAAATATATATTAAGGGCAAGTGAGTAACACGGGAGAGAATAGGGCCCCTTAAAGATCTGAAAGGCTGCCTATGCATGGATCCATAGGAGATGGGAGAGGTACTAAATGAGTATTTTGCATCAGCATTTACAGCAGGGAAGGATATGGCAGCTACAGAACTTAGGGAAATAAATAGCAAAATCTTGAAAAATGTCCACATTAGAGATGGTGATGCTGGATTAGGAAGTTCTGAGGAAGGGTCACCGGACCCAAAAGTTAACTGATTTCTTCTTTAGATGTGCCAGACCTGCTGAGCTTTTCCAGCAACTTCAGTTTTTGTGCCTGATTTACAGCATCCACAGTTCTTTTGGTTTTTATTTTGAAGAAGGCAGAGCTGTGGATGCAATCTATATGGACTTCAGTAAGGCATTCGACAAGGTTCCGCATGGTAGATTGTTGGATACAGAATTGGCTCGAAGGTAGGAGACAGAAGTTAAAGGGTAGGTTTTCATTCTGAAAAGCGATGCGACTACTGGTGTGCCACAAGCATGGGCATTGGGGCCACTTATTTGACAGTGAGGAGGAATGATTTGGATGTGAACATAGGTATGGTTAATAAAAGTTTGCATATGACAAAGTTGGTGGTATAGTGAAACAGCCAAAAAGGTTACTTCAGATACAACAGGACCTCGGATGAGTCAGTAGGCCAAGGAGTGGCAGATAGAGTTTAGATATACATGAGGCGCTAAGTTTCGAAAAGACAAATCAGGGCAGGACTCATATCCCTAATGGTAGGGCCCTTGGGAGTGCTGCTGAACAGACCTTGGAGTGCAAGTTCACAGCTCCTTGAAAGTGGAGTCACAGGTAGACAGGATAGTGAAGGCAGCATTTGGTATGCTTGCTTTTATTAGTCAGTGCACTGAGTATAGCAGTTGGAGGCCATGCTGCATTGGTTAGGCCACTTTTGCAATGCTGCATTCAATTCTGGTCTCCCTGCTATAGGATATGTATTGTGAAACTTAAAACGGTTCAGACAAGATTTACAAGGCTGTTGCCAGGTTGGAAAGTTTGAGCTGTAGGGAGGTGCAGAATAGGCAGGGGCTGTTTTCCCTAGAGCAGAGGCTAAGGGGTCATTTATAGAGGTTTACAAAATCATGAGGGGTATAGATAGTTTGAATAGTTATGGTCTTTTCCCCAGGGTAGCAGAGTCCAAAACTAAAGGGCATTAATGAGAGAGGGGAAAGATCTAAGGGACCCAAGGGGTAACTTTTTCACAAAAGCAGGTGGTATGTGTATGAGCTGCCAGTGAAAGTGGAGCAGGCAGGTACAAATTACAATATTTAAAATGCATCGGGATAGGTATATGAACAGGAAGGGTTTAAACAGATATGGGCCAAATAGGACTAGATTAATTTAGGATATCTTATCAGCATAGACAAGCTGGACCAAAGGGTCCACTTCCATGCTGTACACAACAACACTAAGAGATGTCAGTCCTTTAGACTTTAAAAACGTTACTTACTTGCATGAAGTTTTCACCTGTTACAAGCCCCTCCTGTCTGAGTGCATTTATCAGAGTACTGGCTTGTTCTTTATCCTCGTCAGAGCGATCCAGAGTGTACACAATCATCTTGCTCAACATTTCTGGCAGAAAAGGCTTTGGTGCCTTCATCTCCTTCACTCCATTGACAGCATCTTTAACGTTAAGATTCGTCAGGTACTCGGTTAAGATAGTTTCCTACAGGAAAAAAAAAAGTGAAAGGCGAAAGACTTTAGCCGCAGCATGAGATCAAGGGAATGGTCACCCGTTTGGGGGGCAGGCAGGGGAAGACAAGTAAAAACCAAAAAAAAACCTAGCTGTAGCATCACCAGCAATGACAACATTTAGAAATCTAGCTGGTCTGTCGCCTCCAAATTAGTTTTTAGGACCAGTTTATTTTGTCTGTGTAAGAGGAGGGTAAATAAAAAACCGCTTGAGAAACTCAAAAGGTCTGGCAGCACCTTTGCTGACAGAAACCGTTAATATCGAGTCCAGTGACTCTTTTTTCCGAAGAAATAGTAGCTAGGAAAAATGGTGGTATTCATATTGATGACAGGGGGTGGGAGTGAGTGGATAGGTGAAGACATTGCAAAAGCAAGAAGAGAAAGGGGAAAAAGTTAGGTAAAAAGGGATGGATGATAGTAAGCCAGAGGAGAAAAGCTTATACTGGGGACAATGTGGAGGTGAAAATAGGTTGGCTATGCTGAGAGCAGTCCAGGACAAAGTCTAGATTGGAGGGGGTAGGAGAAAGGACATGTAAAGGTAGCGTTCAGGCTCTAAAATTATTGAGTTTGCTATAAAGGCTGCAGGACAATCTCACCTCTTCCTATTCAAAAGGAAAATGCCATTTATAAACACTCACCGTCAGTTTCATCAATTCTTCTTTGGAAGGTGCTTTCTTGTTCTTCACAGGCTTCTCCTGAATCAAGGGTGGATTGGTTTTGAGACCTAGTTGAGGGGGCTAACAGGTAATACACAGTTAGGTTTTGTAAAGACTGAGCAGTAAAAGGCATTATGGTGACTCAAAGCTGCATGTTAAAATCAGAAGCTAAAAGAAATTCTAAATTCACTTTCCCATTTTTGAACCAGCCCTGTACAAGATCTTGATACTAATTGGATCATAACAGAAATGGTGCATACTGTACAGACCCAAGCACTCATTTCCATTTAGCAAGATCATGACTGACTTCCAGCCTCCATTCCACTTTTCCATCAAATCTCCATACCTTATGATCAACCCACACAATCCAAAGTCTGCCTCAAATTTACTTAATCCTAGGAGGCCATGAAAGCTTTAAGAATTCCAAAGATCACAACCCACTGAAAAAAAATTTCTTATCCTGAGATTATGACCCCCAGTTCCACATCCTTCTAAAATTGTGAAACAAAGACTATTTACCTAGTCAGGTCCCCTCAAACTTATTGAAGGATATACTGATGCATTCAAGTAACAGGAAAGTCAACTGAAAAAAGATTTAACAGAACAAATTGTACCTGCCCCAGGGGTGGAGTTTGAGTTCGAGGAGGCTGTGCACTTGGTGGAATCATAGTCGGTGTTTGTGGTTGAAGCTTGTGCACTAGATTTTTATTCAGTAAAAACGACTGTGCAGGCCTCAAACTGATCTACAATGAAAGAGACAAACATTAATGTCAATAATCACTTACAAGACACAAGTTAGTACTGCATGCAAATAAGTAGCACTCTGGTTTAACATGGTTTAAATACAGATCCAAATATCTGAAGAACAGCTGGTTATTTCGTCTGGTTCAAACTCTGTGGCTGCCCTCATCTTTCAATCACGCTCATAGGACACTGGCCAGCTATCCATAAAGGTTTTACTTTGAAGGAGCAGGGAGTGGGGAAGGAAGGAGAGAAATAACAGAAAAAAGCGGGGACTAGAGAAATGGATAAGGAGGTGGCAGTGAAGGCACAGCAAGCAGAAAGAATAGCTTGCCAGATTAGTCCTCGCAATAACGCGTCATTCCTTAATCATTGGGCACCGAACCATTGAATATGTCCAGATTCAGATTACCTCATCTGCATTGATCTGTCCTTTCTTTATGAACCGAGGAGGCATGCCCTTGGATTGTGTTGGTTGCTGGGATGAGTGTCCCTGGTTTTGTCCATGGTAATGCTGGTTCTGTCCCTGTAATAGAACACTGTCACTTCCTTGTGCCAACACTACCTGCTGCCAGGCTCAGCTTTAAACAGGACAAACATGCTCAACCAGAAGCTGAGCAGGTCCTGAATCCTGGTCCACTCCTTTCAAGTGCTTTTTTTGTTTATCAGCAACTGGAGTCCAGAAGTTGGCTTCCAGAGACAGGTTTTCCCAAACTGGAGGAACTCAAACTGAATCTACAAAGCAGCACAAAAGCAAGGACAGCCTCAAACATGCACTCCACAAGACTACAGCGGCCCTCCAACCAGTGAAGTCAGTGCTTTACTGCTCATCAAGGTGGTTTGCAGATGTGCATCTCGGTTTAAAAAGTCTCCATTATTCCTCTTCCAAAAATTAGCCCAATAATTTTAAGGTGCCAATCGTATACCAGCTTCTTCAGAAACATTAATCCTACCTTTGCTTTCTAGACACTAAGTTTTCCCAAGATGTTTTATTTCACTTTGCAAATCCTTGGCATGTGCCCTTTAAACTCAAAAGTGGAACAGCAAATGCACTGCATCAATTAATCTCCAGATTCAAGGTGGTCTTGCAGGTGCTGAACAGTTGCTCAAGATATTCAGCCTAACATGTTACCTTAACACTTCATACAATTAAAACAATTTGTACAACAAGAGCAACAAAACTGTACTCTCCACATTTGTGCTGTCCAAAACAAATGATGCGACGATTCTGTCCTACACAGGTTAACCCACCATTTAGGTGCACCTCAACACAAACGCAAGCCTTGTCTTTAACCAAGTCTTCAAATCCACATGATCCATAACTAAACAAATTTGTCCCTCAGATTCCAGGGGGAGGGTGGAGAAAAAAGTAGCAGTCCAAAAGTGCTTTCAAAACTTTAATTACATTCATTTCTATATAGCATCAGCATTTAATCATTTGCATGCCTCAAATTCAACAGTTCTCCATTCTGAATTACTGGAGTAGGCAGTGCCAAAATTAAAGTGTAGGAATGGTAGTCAATGCAATTCATAAAAGGATGAAGTAAAGTGAGCTGTTAGCTATCTTTTCAAGAGAACATGTGCATTTATTTCTCACCTGATTAGATTTAAGGAAAGACTTGCTTCCCATTTCCCCAAACTGCGACTGAGGAGGTACATGCCCACCATGCCCATTAAAAAGTTGGTTGGAACGATGACGCCCCATGGTAGGAGAGAATCTGTCTTGAATTACGCCTGGACCAGTACCAATTCCACTACCTTTAGAGAGAAAGATAAATTTAGAATTTTAGAAAATCAAAACTACCAGATGCAATTGTAGTAATAATAATTCAATCTTAGTGATGCTGAAATCCAAAAATCAATATTTACCTGGCATTTGTCCAAACATATCAGCAAGCCCTCCAAGTGGGTCTCTGTCAAATTTCCTTCCTGGTGGTATAAAAGGACCCTCCAGAAAGAAGTCATTCCTCATTCCTTGAGCCATAGCTGGTGGAATGAAAACTCCCAAATCCTACAGAACAGAAGCACGAGTTACAGTCAGACACTGCATCCAATATGCAACAATTCCAAGTTTAGAACTACCCAAAAACCCACCTTTACTGCATCTTGACGAATCTGGTTTATCGTCTTTGGTCCATTGTCAATAAAAGCCTTGCGAGGAACCCAGCGGTGCTCACGCAACTCCACAGTATCCTAGTCAAGAGGTGGAAACGAAGTCAGCTATGTTCAAGTTAGCTTTAAAAGCACTTTGAAAAAGGCAATAAATAAAATTACCTGCAGCAGGAAACGAATCCTAGCTGGCAATTCCTTATTTTGCATCAAGGAACGCATCCGGGCAAAGTACTGATCCATTAGAGACTAGGAGCGGCAGAAAGTTAAACAATTGATCACAGTCAAATTGAATCAGTTGTACTTGAAATACTGATGTTGACACTGAACACCTCAATGCACTTAATTGAAGCTATTTACTCAACACATCTTTCAAAAGAAGCCAAACAATACAAGGACATTAAATGAAGGTCATGGACATTCATGAGCACAAGTTCTTCAATGAACCACAACTAAATCCTTAGTTGCAACTTTAGCAAATACAAATCACAGCAAAGTTCACAGAAACATTAGAAATTAATACTCATGATCAATAATTTCACTCTCCAGCCTACTCTCTAAACCCCACACCCCTCCTCCAAAATTGAAAGACTTGGGATCAATTTGCAGCTAGAGTGCGAGCCTAGAACCAGCCCTTCCTGAAGAGAAGCTTGCTTCAGATGTTTATTCTTCATCCCCAGCTCAAGACCAATCCAAAATTTCAGAATTGCCCAATCCCACCTGCAACCCTTAAGGACATCACGTTACAGTTGTACAGGACTTTGGTTCGACCACATTTGGAATACTGTGTACAGTTCTGGTTGCCACATTACCAAAAGGATATGGATGCTTTGCAGAGGGTGCAGAGGAGGTTCACCAGGATGTTGCCTGGTATGGAGGACGCTAGCTATGAAGAGAGGTTGAGTAGATTAGGGTTATTTACATTAGGAAGACGGAGGTTGGGGGGGGGGGGAACCTGCTTGAGGTTTACAAAATCATGAGGTACAGACAGGGTGGATAGCAAGAAGCTCCCTCACAAACCAAGAGTGGGGGACTCAGTTACTAGGGGTCACGATTTCAAGTTGAGAGGGGAAAAGTTTAAGGGAGATACGCGTGGAAAGTTCTTTACGCAGAGGGTGGTGGGTGCCTGGAACACGTTGCCAGTGGAGGTGGTAGAGGCAGGCACGATAGTGTCGTTTAAGATGTATCTCGACAGATACACAAATGGGCAGGGAGCAGAGAAATACAGATCCTTGGAAAATAGGCAACAGAGAGAGGATCTGGGTTGGCACAGGCTTGGAGGGCCGAAGGGCCTGTTCCTGTGCTGTAATCATCTTGATTCTTTGACTGCACAACCAGTACACCAGGCTAGCAACCGTAACTGCACTAAACAAATTAGTATTCTTAAAATATCCATCCCTGAAACGAACTTTACCTTGGCCTTCTCATGGTCTAGTCTAGGTCCTACTGTCCTCATTATCTGACAGAGGCACTCCAAATCCTCCCCCATATCCTTAAGTTGGACTCTCTTCTTCTTTTCCAAAAGCTGTAAGTGTAAAAAGGAATAGTATTATTTTACAATTGACCAAAACACAAACATTATTAGAATTTACAAGGTAATCTTAAAACCATAGGCCAACAAACTCCTATGATATAAAGCAACTATAGCACATCTCAGTTGACATTAGTCATGATGCATTGAGACCTATATTTTGACAATCAGTACCATGTGACCAGAAGCTTTGCTTGCAAGGAGCAAAAATGAAGTGCATGACAAAATACTTTTGTGAGCTGACTGAGGGAGGATCAGCAGTTGGGCAGAGAGGGCTTCAGCAAGAATACAAATATGGTTAAAGACAACAGCAGGTTAAACAAGGTTGGCTAATTCCACATCTCCCGCACCTCATCCCTCACACCCCGTCCACGCAATAATAACCAAAAAAGAATCCCCCTCGTCCTCACGTACCACCCCACCAACCTCCGGATCCAACGCATCATCCTCCGACACTTCCGCCATCTGCAATCCAACCCCACCACCAAAGACATCTTTCCCTCCCCACCCTTATCTGCTTTCCGGAGCGACAACTCTCTCCGTGACTCCCTTGTCCGCTCCACACTCCCCTCCAGCTCCACCACACCCGGCACTTTTCCCTGCAACCGCAGGAAGTGCTACACCTGCCCCCATACCTCCTCCCTCACCCCCATCCCAGGCCCCAAGAAGACTTTCCACATCAAGCAGATGTTCACCTGCACATCTGCCAATGTGGTATACTGCATCCGCTGTACCCGGTGTGGCTTCCTCTACATCGGCGAAACCAAGCGGAGACTCGGGGACCGCTTTGCAGAACACCTACGCTCGGTTCGCAACAAACAACTGCACCTCCCAGTCGCGAACCATTTCAACTCCCCCTCCCATTCCTCAGACGACATGTCCATCCTGGGCCTCCTGCAGTGCCACAACGATGCCACCCGAAGGTTGCAGGAACAGCAACTCATATTCCGCTTGGGAACCCTGCAGCCCAATGGTATCAATGTGGATTTCACAAGTTTCAAAATCTCCCCTCCCCCTACCGCATCCCAAAACCAGTCCAGCTCATCCCTGCCTCCCTAACTTGTTCTTCCTCCCACCTATCCCCTCCTCCCACCTCAAGCCGCACCTCCACCTCCTACCGACCAACCTCATCCCGCCCCCTTGACCTGTCCGTCCTCCCTGGACTGACCTATCCCCTTCCTAACTCCCTATCTACACTCACCTTTACTGGCTCCATCCCCGCCTCTTCGACCTGTTTGTTTCCTCTCCACCTATCCCTCTTCTATCCGCCTCCCACTCTCTCCCTATTTATTTCAAAACCCCCTTCCCCTCCCCCTTTTCTGATGAAGGGTCTATGCCCGAAACGTCAGCCTCTCTGCTCCTATGATGCTGCTTGGCCTGCTGTGTTCATCCAGCCCTGCACCTTGTTGTCTCGGATTCTCCAGCATCTGCAGTTCCTACTATCTCTGGCTAATTCTCATTTCGGTTTGGGAAAGACAAGACAGCAAAAAGAAATTTAAGCTTTAGTCCTTAACATTTTAGGATGGAGTTAACAGAAACAAATGTTAGCCAATCTATTTTATCAGTAAGGTTGGGCAACATACATATTGTTGAAGCAGCTAATAGATGAGAAAGGTGGCAACTGACAGTAGTACAACGAAAGCCTCTAACAACGTGCAAGGTGGACTGCAGAGCAGTATATTTTGGTAGAGTTGAGTAGGATAAAACAGAAAACAGCATTTTTTGAGTATGGATACAATTTTAGCAGCAAATGCATGACGAAGCCTATTCCCATCTGCATGGCAACACTGATGAATAACAGGATGGGATATCTGCTGCTTGTTCAGTAAAAAAAGAACAGGCTGATTTCAAAGATGTGAACACCATGGCAAATTGAAAAAACTGCTAACTTGCACTTGAATTGTGTTACTGGCCTTAATCTCTATTAGGTGAAAATACTACCCGAAATATGATCACACAAAGCTAGTTATCCCCACTATTCTCTTGTATCAGCTGAATGTTAAAATGCTAGCTATTTCAAAGACTGTCAGATTTCCTCCCTGCTTAAGATACAGAAGCTTGAACATATGCACCAACAGGTTCAAGAACAACTTCTTCCCTGTTTTTAGACTGATGAATGGACTCTAACTTCAAATAATGTTTATCTTGCTCTGCGCACCTCCTGTGTTGTTGTAACCTGTATGCATCACTAAGCACCCTATGATTTGTATGTCCTTGTGTTCTATGATCTGCCAGTACTGCTCACAAAACAAAACTTAGGTATGTGACTATAATAAAATCAGATTTCAAAATCCTTACCCAGATGCCCCTAGTTACTTCCTATTCCATTGCCATTACATTTCCATCCGAGAACTAAGCACCATGTGCAATTGAAACCAGGACTTCAATGCTTCCAATTGCTTTAATTCAAATAAGTTTTTCCCCTTCATTAAACAGATGTTTGACCTTAAAACAGTTAGGAGTTTCTCTCAAATCTAAACTGAGCTTCACGAAGGAGCTATGAAACTACACAACAGATGGTCAGCAACACAAAAGGCCACTTACTGTTTTGATGCACTTATGAAGGATAGATTCGTGGATAAGATCAAGTTTGCCAAGCTCTCCAATGAATTTGATGTTGCCCAGCATTTTGATCTTGGCAATAGCCCGTTGCTCTTCCTCTTCATTTGAGAGGGGGCTATCATGCTTGTCATAGACTATCAAAAAAAAAACAAAAGCAAAATTTAAAGAAGATTCCACCAACTCGCACAAAGTTTAAAACACAGTTTCACATTATACTTACTATCGACATTTCTGGTACGGTTTTCAAATTCATCTTGAAGCTTTGAAATTAAAAGGCGTCTGAATGTCTGAAGTGACAGCAAAACAGGGATCAGTGGGCTGCATTTCAATATCAGTAGAAAAACTGAAGCCAATAAACAAGATAAGCAGATGCTGCTTACCGTACTTTGCTTGTGGTGTTGCAGCAAACCCTCTGGAGTTGGGCCATCAAAGTTGGGAGCATCCTCTGCTAGACGCAGACATAACTGAGCATACAGTGAGCTATACTTGGGCTCTTCAAGGGCTTTGTCTACAATCTGTGTTAGAGAGATTCCAAGCAGAGGCAACTTTAAGTGCTGGGGCACAATAAATAGAACTCTCTTAACCGATCATCTAATACTTATGCCAATTTATCTACATTTACAGGGTAGTTAGGAACAGTTCTAGATATGGTGAAGAAAGTCGTAATTAGTTGAGCACCAATGGAGATATTGCAAAGATAGACAGCCACAAGGTCTTAACAAGTGGCAGAGGGAGCGGATTGGTTAAATATTCCAAAATTCCTGGGATGCAGGAAGGTTCCAGGGGATTGAAAAACTAAGCTAAAATAAGGCCTTTATAAAGGGGAGGCAGAAAATAGGAAACTACAAGCCAGTCTGTTTAACATGTGGGGTTGGGAAATTGTTATCAGTTAAGGAAGCAACAGAGCGTTTTAGAAAATCAAAACAATCCAGATCTCGCATGATTTTAAAGGGTAAGTGGTATTTGATTAATCTGCTCGTTCTTCAAGTACGTACCAAGGAGCATAATGGGAATCCTGTAGATGTTGTACATCCATAAGCCAACTGATCTGGTGCCTCACAAAAGGATCAACACAAGGTTACATGGGGATGGGGTTAATTCATTAACTTGGATAGAAACAGAATCAGGATAAATGGGGTATTTTTCTGGATGGCAGGATGTAACCTGTCCTCTGGCCCCAACTATATGCAATCTACATCAATGACTCAGATGTAGGGATAGAATGTATTATAGCCAAGTCAGCAGACAAGACTAAAATAAGTGGGGAAAATTGCAATGAAGAAATAAGAAATTCACTAATGGATATGCATAGATTAGGTGAATTCGACAGAAGTTTAACATGGACAAATGTGCAAGGTTATCCAGGATAAGGGAGGGTGGGACGTAGTTGCATTGGAGGCAGTTCAAAGGCCATTCACTGGATTGATTCTAGAGATGAAGAGTTTGCCTTTGGAGATTCAGCAGTTTAGGTTTACAAACTCAAGTTCAGAAGAATGACTGACGCTCTAATGGAGGTATAAGCAGCTAAAAAGAGGGGATTGGGACAGTTGTCAGTATGGCCCACAAGAGGAAACAATCTAGAATAAGGGGTCATAGTTTTAGACCAAGGGGTAGCAGATTTGGAAAAAAAAAAAAAAGAAGTTACTTCTCTCAAGAAGGGGATGAATCTGGCATTCACTAGTCTGGAGTGCAGTGATTGGCAGGACAGTAAATTTAGAGATGGACAGATTTTCAATTCTTAAATGGGATAAAGGGTTCTGCAGAGTGGGCAGAAAAGTACAGCAAGGCCAAGATGAGCGCAGACATGACTATTAAATGGCAGAGCAGACTGCAGAGACTGAATTGCCTACTTCTGCTCCTAGCTCTACACGTACTCATGTGTCATTTCTCCAAATCCATATTCTGCAATAACTACATTCTGGCAAGGGCCTCACTTCAACATGGGAGAACATGTACAATTCATGGACCACATGGAGAAAAAGGAGAGATGTATGTAAAAAGGGAAGCTGTTGCAACAAGGAAGGAGGTGGTAAGCAAGAAAAGAGATTGGAAAGATAACACGTGCATAAACGCCAGCTGAACTAATTAGGCAAAACGCACCTGCTGTCCTCTAGCATTTGCTGAAAACAGATTGCGATTACTATTAGAAACAACTCACCAATAAAATGATCCCTTTTAGGACCAGTTTACAGTCTACACCCACATTGAGGAGCTCAAGGCATAGCTTGTCAAACTTCTCTGGAGTAAGCTTGTTCAAAATGCTGAAAAATGAAAGGATGATTAATACTTCAGATTTTAATTTTAATCTTCAATGTTTAAATCTGGGAATGCATTTCCATTAAATCTACCAAATTAATGAAATAACCTGAAACGGTTAGAATACTGCATCAGAAATACCAAACAACTACTTTGCACCACACGTTACTGGAGATGCGTGTAGCTGAATTATCAGCAACACAGCAGTGAAAACTAACAGCACTGCATTCGTGCTTAAAAAAGATGAACGCTGGAATTAAAGCAGACATGAAGTATGAGATCCTTTGTCAAGGCCAAAAAGGATTCAAGCCATAAACAACAATTCCTCATTTAAGGCATTGCAAGAACAGCATATCCAGCATGTGTCAACAGAAAGTGATTTTTTATTGTAGAATTCTCCAACACTATAGGATTAACAGGTTTATTAGCAATATCCTGGTTTTGCCAAACTTAAGATTAGAATCAGTAAAACATTTGAGATCTCTATGGAGGGTCAACCAGGACTGAAGCATAGGCAAGGGCAGGTCAACCTACTTGCTAAGGCTAGTTAGCAACAGCTGTCAGACTATCCCCTCAGCAAATTTTCAAAGATTTCTTAATAGCGATGTTAGTTTTAAAAAGGGACCGTTTTAAACAAATACATCAAAAGAAGTCAAATCAAAAATGAACTAAACACTACATACACAGTTCCATATAACCAATTAGATTTGAAATCAGATTTCAAATTGAACACAAACAATGTCTGTAAAAGAAAATGCAAAACAGAATACAGGAGAAACTCAGTCAGACAACATTCGGAGAGAAACAGCGTGTGGCGTGACTTCAAGTGTTGAGGTCATACGAATACTGCCAGACCTGCTATGGGTTTCCAGCATTCACTGCAGATTTCCAATATCCACACCTGTAAAAATCAAACTTGTTTTAAAAAAATCATTTACAAACAGGAACATTGTTAGGTACCTGTAACTGAATTTGCTGCCAAGCAAGACGAGTGAACAGATTACCAAGTACGTACAATTGAAATGTGCTCACGATGGCAAAATGTCACTGGGCACATGCACACCTTTACAAACATTTGAGGAAATCCAGTCTTTAAAGTTTACGGGTTGCCACTAGATAAGTTTCCAAGTTCTACAACAGATACAGGTTTAAGTAGTAATGTACGAACTGTGCATTGTCTTTAAATTTTTCCCTGAAACAAGGGTGATCCAAAGTTGATGCTACTGTTTCCAGACAGATTGGTGTCCATATTACTTTACAATTCTTGGAATACAATTGCTGCTCATTAACTGCTTAGGAGTTTACATCACCACTCTTAGGTTTCAATAGCTGAACAAACTCATTAACCAGCCCAAGAATGGATGCTTCAGTCACTTTCATTACTGCAGACAAAAACCATTCAATACTGAAATCAAACCCTACTCTTATGGTTATAGTTTTTGAAAGATACTAACCAAGAATCAGGAAATTGCCTCACTACTTTATCTGTGGTAGTTCCAAATTTTGTCCCTGCTCATTTATCTATGCAGTGTGATATTTGCCACGTGTCCTGCACTGCAAAGGGACCACATTTTGTAACCCATTAAGCACCTTTGCAATAAGTCAATATTGTTTAAGCACAAAGAGCGCAAAACTTGCACTCTACTCCCAAGAATATCAATGCAGGAACGAGCAGATAATCCAATGACAGCATAACCTTGACATTCTGACCAAGGTGTATGCTGTCCTGCTCCCCTTCAAATGTAATCTTCCGCAATCACTAAGTAGATAGAACTTTGGTTGGACATTTCATCTAAGATAACAGCACCATAGTACTTCAATCTTATACTGGAGAGTCAGTTGCAATCTGGAACCTAATAGTGATTTTAGAAGCACAAATGCTACCAAACAAACAGTCATACCTGAAAGAGTACACCACCTAAAACGAACAGTAGAATTTTCACAGCACAGGTTTATAGGTGACTAGCACTGAATGCCAAGATAGCTACATAATAAAAACAAACAAAAAGAAGTCTTTTACAGCTAGATTTGCTGATGAAAATGAATGCTGGCAAATCACCAGCAGCACCCCCAGCCCACAGTTTAAGACAGCCATTACGACAGCCTGTACTTCAGTGTCAATTACCTCAGGATCCCTTCAGGGGACTGCCACCTCAACGCAGATGTGCACACACCGAGGTCACTTAAGGGAGCATTAGGTGCTCCTGGTACCATCATCCATAATAGCACGAGTTCAGGGAAGGTGCCAGGCAGTGGTCACAATTGACAAAGGGAAAATCAAACCTGTCTCACCAGCTACAAGATCATGGCAAAACCTGTCAAGCTGTGAAGGCAATGAATGACAGCTTTTCAGTATGGGAAACTGTGAATGCAACACAAGCAGGCTTTACCAGGCAACATCTACTAAACCCTGTGGCAATGCTGCATTTGTGACAGGGACCAAGTTGTGAACCTGAAAGTCTGCACACTGGTGCTAGATATTTGATCATTAGATCAGGCACCTGTTTTATGGTTCCTGTGTAGAACCATGGGCTAGCCATCAATGGAAGTATACTGCAACAAGCAATCAATGTTTGAACAAAATCTGCCATCCCACTGGTTTCAGGCAACTATTGGCTGACTTTACTGATGGAAAGAAAACATGACTTCAGGAACATGGTAATTTATAAACATCTTAGTTGTGAATTAAGGCATTTGCTTATTGCCCATAGTAGGGCCTAACATGCATTCTGAATTGCTTGCCTCCTGTGGCTGAGGAATTCTTAGAACAGTCAAGGAATCTTGACGTGGTGCAAGACAAATCCAAGGAAAAAAAAACAGAAGCCTACTGCATTCGCTGACCTTACCAGAGGATCTGATTCAAATCAGAAGACTTTATGAGCTGCTTCATCATAATACTGTAATTGTCTGAGGGGGAGAACTGACATAATGTCCTTCAAAATCTGAGCTAGTGTCAAGTGAGGCTGAGAAACAGAAGTAATGGGATAAGCATGGGGGCCAAGACTAGTGGCTATTCATCTTAAAGATCAACTGCTGAGTATGAAGAATCATTTGGATGGAAAGTATCCCAACGATCTAGTTCACAATGACTGCAACACTGGTGGCTTAAATCTCATGCAGAATGGACAAAAGTTCTGCAAGTGGATCTGCCTTCAAATTTGCCAAAAACACTCACATCAAGTCATACCAAAGTACTCCACCTCCCGTACAGATTCCCAAAACTCAGCAACCACTCCTCAAAAACGGTGATCATCAACAAGATCCAACTTCAGATCAGCTGTGCCAGATCAACATTCCACAAAATATAAATGTTTGACAAAGACCTCTGCAAGTCAAAGTGCACCATACACCTACGTTATTGGGCCTATAGTCTGTTCAATGGCCATTGTGTTGAATCCAAACAAGCTTGAAGTTCTCTAAGCAAACACCTGCAACTTTAACACATTGAGACTAGACTGACCAAAAGCATTCCTAGGCAGATCTTGTTTTCTCAACTCAGATGGCTGGTGTTCAGGAAAAATGGAATACACTTCAGACATCAGTATGCTCATGCATCAGGTTTTCCTGTTCTTGCTCACTGATTTGCTGAGCAAAAAAGTCTCAAAACATCTGATCTTTCCATTCTCAAAAGAAACAGAATACACTTGAACATAACTGGATCAGGAATAGGGAATTCAGCTCACGAGCCTACTCTGCCACTTAATACAATGATAGCAGATCTCATCTTGGCCTCATTCCACTTTCCTGCCCATTCCCCATAACTAAATATTTCAGTATCCACTACACTCTGGGCAATGAATGCAAGATGCATGGCTCTTTGAGTAAAGTAACTCCTCAACTGTTTTAAAATCTAACTCCCCTTAGCCCAAAACTGACCTTTTATTCTAAGCTACCCCACAAGTGTAAACATCAGCTTTGTCAACTCAAGTATATTAAACCACAAAATGGATCTTCTCTCATCCTTCTAATCTCTAGAAAGTATAGGCCTCAGCTTGTCAATCTCTGTTCATATTTCATCTCTGGGGAATTAATCCAGCAAAATCTTCTGAACTGCTCCCAATGCAATTACATCCTTCAGGTTAGGCAGCCAAAACTGTACGCAGTACTTCACATGCAGTCTCACCAATGCATTGAAAAGTTGCAACAAAATTTCCTTTTATACTCTATGCTTTTAGCAATAAATGCCAAAATTCAATTTGCCCTCCTTATGCAGGTCCAGGTCATATTAGGAGTCTGTAGCTCATGCAAAGGGTCATCCAGCTCCCTCTGAACCAAAGCATTCTGAAGTTTCTTCCTATTGAGAGAGAAGTTGCCTTTTCATTCTTCCAAATAAAACAGACAACCCCTCACTTATTCATGTGAAACTCCACATGCCAAATTGTGGAGCATTCACCCGAACTACCAATTTGTAAATTCCTTATTTCTTCATTGCAGCTTACTTGCCTACCTATTTTGCAGGTGACACCTAAATTTAGCACAAGTACATTCTATCCCTGCATCCAAGTCACTAACAAATAGTTTGGGCCCCCAAGGACTGAACCCTGTGGCACCCAGTCATACTGCACGGAAACAGACCCTTCGGTCCAATTTGTCCATGCCTACCAAGTTTCTTAAACTCAATTAGTCCCACTTGCCTGCATTTGGCCCGTATCACTTAACCTTTCCTATTCACTTACTATCCAAACATCTTAAATGTTTAACTGTACCTGCATCTACCAGTTCCTCTGGCAGTCCATTCCACATATAAAAACAGAAAAAATTGCCCCTCAGGTCCCTTTTAAACTTTTCTCATCACCTTAAACCTATGCCCTCTAGTTTTGAGCTCCCCAACACTAGTGAAAAGACTTTTGTTATTCAGCTTATCTTTGCCCCTCATGATTTTATAAACTGCCATAATCACCCCTCAACCTCCTACGCTCCAGTGGAAAAAAATCCCATCCTATCCTTATAACACAAGCTTTCCATTCCCAGATACGGTCCTGATAACTCTTTTCCAAATCCTCGCCAATATAATTCCCTTCCTATAGCAGGGTGACCAGAATGGCACACAGTACTCCAAAAGTGGCCTCAGCAACATCCTGCGCAATTGTATGATATCCAACTCCTATACTCATTGCTTAGACCATTGAGGGCAAATGTTCTAAATACCTTAACCACCCTGTCCAACTGTGACCTGAACCAGTTTGTTCAACACTGCTGCCCAGGGCCCTACCATTAATCATGCAGGTTCTGCCCTGGTTTGTTTTACCCAAATGCAATACCACATATTTATCCAAATTAAACCCTAGTTGCCATTCCTCAGCCAAACCCCACTAGTTACAGCCTGCCAACCAGAAAGACCCATTTATCCCAACTTTGCTTTCCATTGTTTAGTTAATCTTCTCTTCAAGATAATGCATTACACTTAACCCAATGTGATACGCTTTTTGTAGCGCCTTGTCAAATGCCTTCTGGAAATCCAAAAATAGTAAGTTACAGGACCCCATTACCCCCCTTTGCTTGTTAATCTTTGAAGAATTCAGCAAATTAGTGAAATATGATCTACCCTCCACAAAACCAAGCAGACCAAATTGCCTCAACTTCCCAAATGTCTACTTTCTTCTTAAATGAAAGAAATCCAATTATTTCCCAATGACTGATATTAAACTGGTGGTTTCCTACTTTATGCCCCCTTTCTTTTTAGAAAAGAAGGTTACATTAACATTTTGCTCCCAACCCACCCAAACCTTACTAGGACCCAGGCACTTTGGAATATAAAGGTTATCCACTCTATTGCGAATGGCACTTCTGTTCAGACCCAAGACGTGGGCTACCAAGCCCTAGGAACTTTTCTGCTTTCAATCCCAATAGTTTGATGGCAGTTGCATTAGGTTTCCCCTTTTCTATTATCTCTACATTCCTGGTTTCTATGGGATGGTTTCAGTGTCCCCCACCAAGAAAACTAAAGTAAAATATTGATTTATTATCTGCCCACTTATACTCCCAACATTAACTCCCTAGTTTCTCATCTATAGGACCTTCACTTCAGCTACTCTTCCTTTATAGACTATCACCATCCAGAAGACAACACTGCAGGTACATTATTGCCCAAACACTTATCAAGGTCACAATCTGCAACAAAAACTGACTATCCCTGACTGACCCAAGAGCAATAGTTAGTTACAGATTAGACTGTACTTTTAGTTGCCAAAAAACTTCAAGTGCCAAGACAGCTAAATTGGACTCATCTGGGAGGCACTGTTCAAATACTTCGCAAGACCATCGAACAGGAATTCTAGAAAACAGTCTTATGGAATGCAAATTGAGCAACTTTGCAACAAGAACCACAAAGAAAGCATTTTATTGCCAATTAACTGTGGACAACTAAGTATATTACAATAAGATTTTGAATTTTAAAAAACTCAGGCTTCAAATCTTACATAAAACCCTAAACTACTATAAGCCACAGCATAAATTTAAAAACTCACCTGCATCTGACTATAGTCACCCAGAACATTTTATGAAATACAATGGTGTAACATGCAACTTACAAATACCAAAGGAAGCTTCAGAATAATGCACTTAGCGACTGTAGATAAATGTAAAATTATGATTGCTCTCCATAAGCAAAAACATGAAAATACAAAATGGCCTAGCCTATGTTGTTTGTGGTCATCCAGATGGTGCTTCAAAGAAGCCATGCAACTCAATTCATATAGAAACAGACATCTTGATCAGCAACTTACTTATAAACTATAGACACAAGAAATTATCATTCTGTGGCCATTTTCAATCAGACTATAAACCTGCCTTTCACAGCTGTAGCCTTCACGGAGGCAAAACAAACAGAATCTGACCATCATGCAACATGACAGACAATTTATTACAAACATCCCTTGTGCTTAAAGTTGTGACTAATACTTCATAATTAATAGCCTGGTCAAATTTCAGCAGGTTCTTCCACCAACTAAACAAGAGGGTGTAGGGATGTGGAGAGTTGAAGTAGGCTCCTTTCACGATACTTCAGCACAATACTTAAGATCTCAAAAAGTAGCCGCACAGAAACCATATGGAAATGACCCTTCACCTTCCATCAAAAAAACCTCAATTGGACTATAACTGCAATAAGTTACATTTTACATAAAATTTGGAGAACATGGCTCAAGCACCAGCCTGCCAATACCACCGCTCTTTACAATTGAAACTCACGTTTTAGTTGTTCAGATAGAACTGTCTAACTTACTTAAATTTTCCTCATAAGCCATTCTCTGATCGGACTGCGTGAAGCATATCCCCCTCAAATAAGTCTCAATGCCCCATAGCAAGACTTATTTTACATGGAGCTTCCCTGCAATAAAGGCCAACATTATTTGCTTTGATAATTTTATAATTACTTGATCCAGTGTGATCTAAATTTTGGCCTAAATAAATCCAGATTGTTGAGTTCATTCTATTTAACAGATTTGAATAAGAAAAAAAACAACATACAGGGATATAAAGTTCCATTACCACATTCCTCTCCCAAGCTTTTTTTTTAAAAAACCACAAGTGAAGGGACAGCACTCAGCTCTGTATGGTTGAAAGCTATTTGGGAGTTAGGATGACTTGTGTCACATGTAAGAATACATAGTAGGCATTCTGCCCCAAAAGCCTGTTCCAGCATTCAATTTAAATCACAGCTGATCTACATTTCAGTTCCATTTGAACAAAAAAGAGAATTTGTTTGCGATTTCTGCAAACTTGTGCTAGGATGCATTTTTCCACACTAGACCCACTTGCTCTGGACTCTGCAGATAGTATTTCTATTTTAGTTTGAAATAGCCTAATTTATACAACCAATCCTCAAATTCTCCTCTTCTTATATTCCAACTCAAACTAGAGCTATCACATCAGACCGCAAGTACAATTCTCAATTAGAATGCTACAACCCCTTCATTACCATACATAGTCAGGACATCAATAACTTACCCTCTGACTTTCCTGAAGATTCCATCTTGTCGTTCTTTCTCATTCAAGGAGTTGGCATCTCGTTTAGTGCTTCATGAAGGAACCCATCTCTGTACGCTAGGTCCTGGGGTTTCCCCCAGGATCCGGCTGTAGAGAGATAGGAACAAAGTCTATAGCAACAGCTCAATATAATTGTTACCTGAACTATGTATTGTTTGAGAATCTAAAAAGCTTAGTCAACAAGAGATACCATTGTTAGTTGGGAAACAGCTTCAGCACAACAAAGTTCAAATTCAACTTGTTTTTACCAAGCTGAGTCAGTCATCATGTCAATTCAGAAGCACCCTGCCTTTTGTCCCCAACAACTTCTTGCCAGAAAAGCATACAAGTACAGGAATGCACAACTGAAGACAATAACTTGAGATTTGGATATATCCCAGAAATGGAAACATTTGCAGACCCATGGAGAAATGGGTCCAATTGCTGATTCAGTAGAAGAGCAATCACTCCACAGGCAAAATGGCAGTCAGCCATGCAATATGCTTCTTAGCATTGGTATTAAAAAGGGACAGGGATTTGAAAAAGCTATCAAATGTGTTACAGGAAGGAACTGTTATAACATTTGAACGAGACTGCAGAATTGTTCCATACAAAGAGCAAGAGAACAAAAAGACACATGATATCTTAACATCAGCCGCTGCAAATATTTAATAGATATTAGTTGCACAAGTCAATTTGTTTTGATGTACAATTCCATATTCAAATACAAAAAAATTTAGTTTGATATCAAATATAACCAAAACGCAGCTCTAACACAACATCTGAAAGTGCTTCAAGGGCAGATGACCTAAAGCTCTTAAAAAAAGCTTTGAAACTTATTTTTAAAAATAAAAAGGAAGGTGGTAGAGGGGTTAAGGAAGAGAACTCCAGAACTTAGGCAGTTGACAACACAGACAAATATCAAATTAAAAAAGCCAAAAGAATTGCAGATGCTGGAAACCAGAAACAGCAGCAATTACTGGAAAATCTCAGGTCTGACAGCATTTGAGAGAGAAATCATAGTTACCATTTCAGGAACGGAATAGATTTCACTCCATAGGTGCTGTCAGACTGGAGATCTTCCAGCAATTTCCGTTTTTGTTACAAGCAATATCAAAATTAGCAATGTTCAAGCAGTAAAATTGGTAAAGCACATTCAAAAGTTATAGTACTGGAAGCAGCTAGAATATTGGGACAGATTGAAATGGAGGGACTTGAAAGAAAGGATGAGAATTTCAAAAATCAGACAGTTTTACCAGAAACCAGAGTAAGTGACTCATTAGTTTCTGAGAAGTTTTGAATGATACTTTAGCAGAGGGGAGGGCTAAGGCTGTTTTGGAATATCCAGTCAATAAATACACAGATAAGGGTTTCAACAAGAGTCAGGCGATATAACAGGTTAAAAACCAATCTATAGAGATATTGCCTTTTAGATATCCATACCTGCACTTATGGGCAATGTAACTAATTATACAACCTTGGTCAAACAGGGGAGCACTGAGGGAAATTTTGTAGGGGTGGAGCAGTCTTAGAAGTGCCAACAGCAACCAATTATTTCAAAGGATTCAGATCTGAATCTACAGTTTTAATTGCCTTTTCTCAGAATTGATAGATACCTGTTGCTGGCAGTCTTGGGATAGTGCTGAGGCGCACCCCTACCTCCTCCTCCGCCCGAAGAAGCACTATAAAGACAAGAAAATTTGTCAGTCCAAACAAAAAAACTTCCAAAAACTAACCTTAGCTTATCTGCTACTCATGCTATGACACCTTATGTTTGAAAATTTGCTATGGCATTGAATGTTCCATGTAACTCTCCATATCAGTTCCTGTAGACTTTTGTCAAAAGGACTGCAATATTCTCAAAACTGGGACTATCCAGAAGTATGCTAGAGGCCACTAGAGCCCAATACAGCATTGCCACGCATGAAAATCTACTTAAGCCAAATGCCATTACAACCACCAGGTACTACTTTAAGACTATGCTACAGAATGTGATGGGAAAGGATCAACCATGATATGGAAAAGTTTCCATTCATTACCTTACCCTAAGTGAGCAAAATTTTGAAAGCTCTAAATAAAAGGAGAAAAACAACTCCACGATTCACTTTACTAGCACATTTATTCTGCAATCTTGACCAGTGATTAAAAAACATGTCAGTCACCGTCAACAAAACCGAGCGGACAATGTGGTCAGGTTTAAATGAAGGCATTTCAATGTACACTGACTAATCCACTGAAAGTGCAAAACACCAAACTACTTTATGAAAACTAGGCACCATTTACTAATAAACAATACAAAACTAATAGATACCTGAAACGAGAAGCAACCCCTTCTGCGATCACACTCTCCACTTTGGCGGCTTGACACAACGAAAAACTTCCAAAAGAAGATTAGAAAAGGGAAGGGTGGGGAAATGAGTTACCTTGGAGAAAAAAAAACACACAATCACACTCTTGACTTATTACCACACCCTGCTCAATTTAAGAACAAGCGAATAGTCAAGCTCCACCCACCCCATTGCACAGAAATATGGCTGTTCCAGGCTTTACAGGGGAAATGCAGAAAAATATGGTCAGCTTTTGATTGACTCAACAATGCAGGGCAATTATAGCAGAATTACTTCTCAATATGCAGATAGGATAGGAGGATCTTAACAGCAGAACTAGGAATGCAGGCTGACAGAACAAACAGCATGTGCATTAGGGTTTTTGTTCGGGGTTGGGGGGCAAGAAAAGGGGAGACGATTTCAGATCCAGGAGTTAAAACATAGAATCCAAAAGAGAAAGTAAGAGGATTTCAAGCCTCGTAAGCCTACAGAGAAGACAATCAGGAAGGGGAAGGGGGACCGGGACGAGATGACGACAGGGAATCGAGAAAGCAACAAAAGAGTCCAGATCAACGCTGTTTCAAAACAACCTAGAACAGGGTAGGGGGCTCACAAAAACGAAAAGACATTGAGTCACCCCCTCCCCAAACAGAACTAGGATTCAACAGATTAGAGGAAAACTGGTTTGCAGATAGGGTTTTTAACAGTAAACCACGTTCTGGTAATGGGTAACGAGAGGCACAACAACCGATATGGTTTCTTCTAAACGGACAGGAAAGAGCCAGTTATTCTACAATCACTCGATTAAGTGTTTTCTATTTGCCACGATCGCGATCCTCCACTCTCCCACAGAAAGGGAAAATTCCCCCACCGAAGTCCGGAGCTGGATGGATTTGGGGGGGGGGGGGGGGAAATGGAGAGAGAAAGACAGGGAGGGAAAAGCCAAAAGAGATCGAGCTCTTTCCACCACAAAAAAAACTCACAAGAGTCCAGCAACACTCATCCACGAACACAATCAAGCAAGAAGAGCGAAGAAATCACAAGACGACTTTAATAAGACAACCGCTGAACAACAAGCGCTGTTTCACTCGAAGTACAGCCTGTCGTCGCCTCCGCCATTTTGTCTAGAGCCGCCGAGCAGAGGCACAAAATGGCGGCGGCGGCACCGCTCTCTCCCCGACCGAGCTCGGCCCCACCTCACCTCACCGTCCGAGCCGCCCAGTCACTCCGTGTAGATCTGTGCTTCCCAAATGAAAGAAAAAATAATAAAGTGGGGGGAGGAAACATTAAATTAAATCCGAATAACCCCGATCCGCATAGATGGCAACACCAACTAGGAGCTCAGAGTCACTGGGACAAAAGAGACGGAGCTCCACCGCCAGTTAGCCGAATTGATTCTCTTACCCACAATGCACCGCGCCTGACCGTGCAGCCTAACTTTACTTCCGGCTTCGCGCCTTTCTAATTTCCTACTTTATTCCTTCCTTCCGCCCCTCCCCCCCCTCCACCACCCACCCTCGCGCCGGTTTGGCCACAACCAAACTTGACACGCGCGTCACGCTGATTGGCAGTCAACTCGCACCAGTCACGCCGGCTCGTTGTGTGATACGGCCCGCCCCCCGGCCAATCAGACAAGGCGGGCGGGGGCCGGGCCGGACGCGCCCGCTGATTGGCCAGCGGCTTCAATGCAGCCGCACTGCGGATTGAGGCGGTTTGGCCCAGACCGGGTTCCCCCCCGCCCCCCCCAACTTCTCCGTCTGCTTCCCTCCCCAAAGCTTAATCGCTGCGGCTTCGTTTACCCCACTTAGTTCCTTACCCGGCTTCCATTGGAAAGCTCCACCCATGGAAAGACATGCCCCCAAACGGCCTTCCCCGCCCCCACTCTCCCCAGTTGCTGTCGGAAATACCCGTTGCATCCTCCCCAGTCTTCCCGCTCTCGTCGGCCTGGGAGCCGTCCGTCACTAAATCCATCGGTGCCACTTCCTCCGCGAAACAAAGTCGGAAACGAAAATGCAACTTGCTGTGGAAAGCCAGCCGGTCTGGCGTGGAGACAAAGCGGAGTCAATGTTTCGGGTCCAGTGACCCTCTTCCACTGTCGTGAACAAGGACCAAATGCATAATCCTGAACCGAATTAGTCGCAACATGCTTCCACGTAGAAATGCGAACAGCCCCGAAACACTTAAGTCCTCCCCTTCATTGGAAGCTCTTGTGAGAATGGTAAATTTTTTGAATGGTGCCCACATTAAATCTGGCCTTTTAACAAGAGCTCATGAGATAATTGCACACATCAAGGCCGCGTTTAATGGAGCGTAGCATCAGGTAGCCCTTGTAAAACTGGAATCAATGTGAATCGGGGCAAACTCTGTGCTGGTTAGAGTCCTGCCTAGCACATTACCAGGCCTCCTACCCTTCCTCGACCTCTTCATCTCCAACTGCTGCCGTGACATCAATCACCTGAATCTCTCCACCCCTCTCACTTATTCCAATTTCTCCCCATTGAACGCGCAGCCCTCCTCTCTCTTCACTCCAACCCCAACCTCACCATTAAACCAGCCAACAAGGGGGAGGCGTGGTGGTAGTATGGCCAATTGAACTCTACAGCGCTGAGGCCAGACGCCAATTATCTGACACTTCCTGCTATTGTCCCCTTGATCATGACCCATCTCTGATCATCAGACCATCAACAACCTTCTCACTTTGGAAGATCTCCCGTCCACAGCCTCCAAGCCGATAGTTCCCCATCCCACACTTGCCTGTTCCTATCTCTTACCCAAAATCCATAAACCCGACTGCCTTGGTCGACCCGTTGTCTCTGCCTGCTCCTGCCCCACCGAGCTCATCTGCTCCTACCTCAACTCCATCCTTTCTCCTTTGGTCGAGGAGCTCCCCAACTATTTTTGGGACACAACCCACAACCTCCATGTTTTCCAAAACTTTCAATTCTCTGGCCCTCAATACCTCTTCTTTACCATGAACGTTCAGCCCCTGTAAACCTGTATCCTCCACGGAGATGGCCTAAAAGCCCTCCGCTTCTTCCTCTTAGGCTCACCCATTCCCCTCCACCGACACTCTCATTCACTTAGTGGAACTGGTCCTCACCCTCAACAGTTTTTCCTTTGATTCCTCCCACTTCCTACAAATGAAAGGGGTGACCAATGGCACCTGCATGGGCCTGACCTATGCCTGCCTCTTTGTAGGATTTGTGGAACAGTCCCTCTTCAACAACTACACTGGCACAATCCTTCACCTCTTTCTCTGCTACATTGATGACTGCCTTGTGCTCCTGCCGAGGAGCTCAAACTATCAACTTCAACACCTTCCACCAAGCCCTTAAATTCACCTGGACCATTTCTGACACCTCCCTCCCGTTCCTGGACATCTCCATTTCCATCTTCGGTGACCGACTCGCCACTGACATCCATTTCAACCCACCGACTCCCACTATTACATAGACTACATCTCCTCGCACTCATGCCTGCAAAACTGCTATCCCATATTCACAATTCCTCCACTTCCGTCACATCGGCTCCCAGGATGAGGTTTTCTACTCTGGGACTTCCCAGATATCCTCCCGCTTTAGAGACCATAGTTTCCTTCCTCTGTTATTAAGGATGCCCTTAACCACATCTCCCCCGTTTCCCACGCTTCTGCCCTCAAACCCTCTTCCCCCAACAACAATAAGGATGGAGCCCTCTTGGTCCTCACATACCATCTACCAACGTCTGAATATAATGCATCATCCTCCGACATTTCCACCACCTACAATCAGACCCCGTCACCAAAGAGATATTTCCCTCCCCAGCCCTGTCTGCTTTCTGCAAGGACCATTTACTCTGCGACTCCCTCATCAGCTCCATACTCCCCACCAACCCCTCCACCACGCCCGATACCTTTCCCTACAACCGAGGAGATGCTACACCTGCCCCTATGCATCCCCTCTCACCTCTGTCCAAGGCCCCAAACAATCCTTCCAAATCTGGCAGATTCACCTGCACTTCATCTAACTTCATCTACTGTATCTGTTGCTCCTGATATGGTCTCCTCTATATCTGGGAGACAAAACACAGACTCAGGGACTGGTTCGCAGAGCATCTGTGCTCTGCACACGCCAACCACCCCGACCGTCCGGTTGCCATCCACTTTAACTTCCCCTCCCACTCCCCTGGTGACATGTCCATCATTGGCCTCCTGCACCGTCAGAGTGAGGCCAAACTTAAACTGGAGTAAACCTGATATTTCACCTCGGGAGCTTACAGCCCAATGGCCTGATTATTGACTTCATTAGCTTCAAAATCTCTCCACCCCAACCTGTCAATCTTTCGACTCACCTATGTGCTCCACCCTTTCCACTGACCAACCACAATAACCCCCTATCTGCATCACCAGCTTCAAAATCCCTCCACCTGCAATCTCTCCATCTTCCTACTCACCTATCTGCTCCACACTTTCTACTAACCAACACAATAACTCCCTACCTGCATCCACCTATCTTCATTCCACCTACCCTCCTCCCAGCTCCACCACCGCCATTTATTTCTGGGCTACCCTCCCTCCTCCCCAGACCTGATGAAGGGTTTTGGCTGAAAACGTTGGCTTCCCTGCTCCTCAGATGGTGTCTGACCTGCCGTGCTTTTCCAGATCCACATCTTTTGACATAGGAAGATGGTCATCGTTGTTGGAAGTCAGTCATCTTAGCTCCAGGGCATCTCTGCAGGAGCTCCTCAGAGTAGTGTCCTAGGCCCAAACATCATCAGCTGCTTCATCAATGACCTTCCCTCAGAATTGGGAATATTCACTGATGATTGCACAATCTTCAATACCTTTCATAACTCCTTAGCTACTGAACCAGTCTATGTCTAAATGCAGCAATTTCTGGTCAATATCCAGGCTTGGGCTGACAAGTGGCAAGTAACATTCATACCACATAAATGCCAGGCAATGACCATCTCCAATAAGGGACAATTGAACCACTATCCCCTAAAATTCAATGGCAGTATCATCAGTGAATCCCCCACTCTCAACATCCTGGGGGTTACCATTGATAGGAAACTCTCCTGGACTTGCTGTGTAAATACGGTAACTACAAGAGCAAGTCAGAGGCTAGCAATATTGCAGTCAGTGACTCACCTGACTACCCAGAGCCTGCTCACCATCTACAAGGTACAAATCAGGAATGTGGTGGAATACTCCCCACTTCCCTGGATGAATGGATCTCCAACAACATTCAAGAAGTTGGATATCATCCAGAACAAAGCAGCCTGCTTGATTGGCACCACAAGCATCCATTCCCTCCACCCCTGACACTCAGCAGCAGCAGCAGTATATCCATCTACAAGATTTACTGCAGAAATGCACTCAAGGTCCTTAAAAAGCATGTTCCAAACCCACGACCACTTCCATCTAGGAGGGCAAGGACTGTAGATTATGGGAACACCACCACATGCAAGTTCTCCTCCACCCCACTCACCATCCAGGCTTGGAAATATATTGCCATTCCTTCACCGTCACTTGGTCAAAATCCTGGAATTCCCTCCCTAAAGGTATCGCAGGTCTACCTACAGTATGTGGACTGCAGTAGTTCAAAAAGGCACTACCACCTTCTCAGGAACAACTAGGAATGGGCAGTAAATTCTAGCCAACCAGCCAAACCTGTGTCCCATGATTGAATAAAAGGAACAAATACACAATGTAAAATGTCTAACAAATCTCGAGTAAAGAATATATACTATCATAGGCACTATTTCACTATTTCTTGGGGAGGCGGTGTTTGTATTTGAAGGCAAGAATTGCCTAAGAACTTTTTTTAAGCAAAAGGGAAAGTTAAGAATAAATGTGACTTCTGAGATTTTTACTGCACACTTCCCTCCAAAAACAAAAGTGGGCTAAAAGTTGTTTTCTGGAGGCATGTTGAGTGAAAATACCCAATCTCCAAAGGCAGAACACAGTAGCAAATGTCTAACAAAATTAAGTCACTTACAGAGGTATCAGGACAGGTGATCAAAAACTTATAGTGAACGGAATAAGAATTTAGATTATCATAAAATCATTGTAGTGAAAGGAAGGTAGAAAAACACAGAGTTAGATAGGTGGGGAATTCTAGAGCTAATAGGGCAATGCTTTGCAAACATGTTTCCTTGGTGACCTCATTTTGAGACTTGACAATTGTTGTGATCCCTCAGTGAGAACTGAGATCATGGCAGGATAGGTGTACCCCTGTTATAACTAGGTCAATGCTCCATGTCAGCCACTGTTGCTTGAAAGTTCACAGCACCAAAATTTCAGCTTGCGACTTGGGATCCCAGCTCTCATTTTGGGAAGGCTTTGCTTAGTGCCTCAGGCCTCTGAAAACAAGGCCAATAATGGTGGATTTGTGGAGTTCAGCAATAATGAAGGATATTGAAGTATGGAGGATGTTACAGAAATAGGGAGTGGCATTGGCGTGGGAAGATTTGAAACCAAAGATGTAAATTTTAAAGTTGAGGTGTATCTCAATGCAGATAATTGGCACAGGATGATGATGATGTACAAAACTTGGCGTGAGCTAGGAGATGCACAGCAGTTTTGAGATGAGTTAAAGTTTATGAAGAATGTACGGTGGGAAACTGGCCAGAATTGCATTGCAGTAATCAAGCCCAAAGCATACAGTGCAAGGATGAGTCTAGACAGTGCTGGTAGACTCTCAAAGTGATGGAGCATCAAGGGATATGCCGAGAGTGAGATGCTGGCAGTGAAGGAAGGAGGCTCCAAACCCAACTGTTTCCTGTCCTGCATGGCCCAGTGTCAGTTGGGAAGTTTGCATGCCAGGTAAGATCAGGTTCTTGTTTGGGAAACTGGAATCTGGACATTTCTGAGTTGCAAGCCTAATAAGTAAGTATTGAGAAATTGTGGTTTGGTTTGAGATACTTCGACTAAGTCTGTGTAGCTTCTTCCAACAATCCACCTGAAGTGGGGCCGCTGAAATGCTTTTGTGAATGTGTTTGAAATGTATGCAAACGCTACCTGAATTTAAGTCAGCAAACTTTCTACCTTTGACCCTTGATAGAATCAACATCTGAGATTCCTACCAGAAACATCCTGGCACCTCATAGAGTTTACATCCCAGATCTAAAACAATTGTTCATTATACAT